CATAGTTTAGGCTTCAAATTTTACATTTTTCTTTATATAGATATTATAATTTTCCGATTGTTCCGTTATTCCATTTTTGGTTTTTTAGTTTTTGGTTTTCATTTTGCTAGTTTTCGTTTTACAATTATTAGATCTTTTAATTTTTGGTTTCCTCAATTTTTCAATTTATAGTTTCCCGATTTTTCAACTTTTCATTTCTTTAATTTGTCATTTCTTTTATTTTAAAATTTTTCAGTTTTTCAATTATTCTATGCTTCGATTTTTTAATTTTATGTTCGATTTTGTCAATTTTAGGTATTTTAATTCGTGGTTTTCTCCATTTTTTAGTTTTTTTCTTCCGATTTTTCGATTTTTCATTTTTAAAATTTTTCGATTTGCAATGTTCCTGGTTTTTGAATTTATATTTTTCAAATATTTAACTTCTAAAATTTTTCACTTTTAAGTTTTTCAATTTTTCGAGTTTGACGACTTTTAAGTAAAGACAATATGGGAAGAACATATTAAATCTTCGCAAGCTCTAATACCATTCGAATTAAATATATTTTAAATTAATAAAACCTAACCCCTCTTCTCTGAAAAGAATTGAGTGAATAAAGTACGAAAAACTCTCATAAACCACGAAAAAACCAAACGTTGACTGTACATTGTACTGCTGCTGCAAGATTTGATTGATGTGTTCTTCACAAAGTATTTCTACTCTAGTTCTAGGTTGTAATCCTTGATATTAAAAACAAGTGGCATCAACAAGTTACCGTTTCGAAAATAATGATTTTGTACATTGAAAAATACTGCTCGGGCACCAGTTTTTTTTAATTTAACCCTTTCTTATTCACATATCTGATTAAATTTACAATATCTATCATGAACTTAAACAAACTTTTGAAATTATCAATTTTCATGCGATGAAATCTACATTGCTGTAAAATTTGTCAAGTATAAAACAAATTAACCTCATCTTATTAGACAGAACTTTCTTCGCCTCTGAAGCACAATCAAACAAATCAAGTTTCTTAGAAAAAAAAAATAGATAGTACCAATCACAGTGTAAGAAAAAAAAGTGGCCCATGAGTGGATCGAAGTTGCGACCTTCGCGTTATTTGTCACTTTACCTGTATTTTAATAAGTCACTCCTATTTTGACCGTAATATACAGGGTGAGTCACTAAATGCGCGTTTTTCGATATCTCAATAATTATTAGAAATGGAAAAAAAGTTAAAGAGCAAAGTTGTATAGTTCTTTAAGGACTACACTTTAAAATTATTTTTAACGATACAGAGGGTTCTGTTTTTAAGGCGTAACACATAACTTAGTTTTAGTTAAAATGAAATACCCCATATATTTTTACATATTTTGATTGACCTCTTCTCGAGCTTTACAACCACTTACACTTTCGAAATTCCGACGCGACGTTGCCACATTTTTCCAATTTTCTTGAAATTTATTGGCAGCAGAAGGCTTCGTAAAAAATCATAGTAGCGTTATTTTTAAAGTGTGTCCATACAATATTTTGTGAAAGGATAAATAAAAGTACGCGCTTTGTCGTGCTGTCAACTAAATCAAATGTTAGTATACGGAGTGTTTATAAAACAATTAACACTACAATTTTCAAATACAGATTTTCATGTATTTCTCAAAAAAGTAAAAAATCGCAGTAACTATCGACTTTATATTTACAAAATATTCAGCAACGGAAAAACGAGAACAAAAACAAAACAAAAAAAGTAATAAAATATAGGGCATTTTATTTGAAAAAACTGAAATAACGATATTTAAAATTTTTTTATCAACACTCTATATATAAAAGTTTAATCTTATTTGTACCACAACAAGACGCGTAGCTTTCTTTATCTCTCCACAAAATATTATAAGACAGAATTAAAAATTTAACAGATAAGTCAGGATTTTTCTCACACAGATTTCTGTATTAAATAAAATTTTCGGAAGACATCCCCAATATTTTAGTGGCGATAAATACATATATCAATTTTCCAAAACACATGTTTTTAACAAATATTGATTTATTGCTACATTTTTGCAGAAATGCCATTAATTTAGACCGATGAAAGAAAAAAATTTAATCTTTGTTTCGTAAATTTCCAAAAACGTAAGTTTTCTACTTGTTTTATTTTTGTTTTATTATTTTTTAAAGGTGAAAAATTTTCACTGTACCAAAGTATTTGGAAAAACGAAAGTCTCCAAAATTTTATAGTCGTAGGCATTTAAATTTTTTATCAAATCAAAAATAATTCTGAAATTTCAAAAAACAATGACTGAAAAATTAATTAAAATTGAACCGACTTTTCCACGTTTTTTTTCGCTATTTCCTACTTAGTACTCAAAGAGTGTAACAAATTTTCCGTTATTTTAATTATTGGTAATATTTAATAATTAAAATACGAAAACGAAAAATCGCCAATGAGCAATTATTATTAAAATTTTAATGATTACGATTAATGCTAGCCTTTAATTTTTTAAAAATACTTGTCTAGAATATTCTTTAGGGATATAACTCTGTCGTTAATATCATTACTTTACAAAATTGAATTAGCTCCACAGACAGGATTAAATGAATCAGGAGCACGAATTTTTTACCGAATTTCAGCTGTTTTTGTAAACGTGTTGACAGAGCCCGATGACATAATTATGTTGTTGTACAGTATGAGTACCTACTCTAAAACATATGTTAAAAAATATGTGTTTACGTAGCAATTTCCATATTTTCACCTTTAAATTTAACTTGGCCTCTGGCTATAATATTTAACAAATTAACTAAAAGAAACGTTAAAGAACATTAAAAAAATTGCTAAAATTTAAATCGCAGACAAAAAATTTCGTCGATTTTGCTCATTTTTTGAAAATTTCATCTGAGAGTTTACCTTCACGTGAAACTAATTCAACACCATTATCATTGTTAATGTATGGTTAATGCACACAAACGTTGTTACCAATTATGGTGATATAAACCTGCTAATTCATGCCCTAAAGCTGTTTACTACGATTTTATTGCTGATCTAATGATGCAAATGTGAAGCTTAATGTCATTCAGACTCTAAAAAGAGCAATCGAGATATGTATGCTCACAGATTAGAGTCAATTCAAACAAAAAATTAAAATCCTGTCTTAATCTATGAGACTATGTTGCACAGTCGCCTACCCAGGATCCGAAGCAGCCCCGTCCAATGAGGAACCGCTGCTTGCTCCCGTACATATATTTGAATGATGTATCCAGTAATAAATGTTACAGCTTTACACAAGATGTCTAATATCGAAAGCATCGCCATTTTCTTTGATTTGGATTATTACTCATATTAGGTTTCATGGCAGAAGCAAGCTGACTTTTATCTATAAAGGTTTCATCTGCTCTGAATGAACTGATGAACTGTAATGAAACTTTTTTTACGTTTTGTAATTAAGGAATGGATGAAACGCTTTTCGTATTGGATTATCCTTTATATCTAGTAATGTTCGAAATGTCAGCTCAGTCCATAAAAAATTGTGTAATATCTAACGTCAAATTTCCAACCATGTTGTACAAAAAGGAAAAGAATTTCTCTCGGAATCAGTAATTATTGTCATTTTTGAAAATCCTCTTTTTTATTTTATTTACACTTATACAATTTATCACCATATTAAAACTTTTTGTTTGAAGATAATAAATATATGTAGAATTTTTCAATCAAATGTCATACATAACAATAGTTACCACACTTCTTAATTTGATCAATCAGGAACATTCAAAATGTTACAGCTGACGCTATATATGGTAAAAAAAAGTGACAAACTGAACGACTCATTTACGCAATAAATATCTTCCAGCGCCGATATTTATACAAAACATAATGATTCTTTACAACCAAAATCGAAAGTTTTATGAAAACATATTTTTCTACGAGACGATGTTGTTTTTACCAGAAGTTTCGACACTTTTTATCGTGTCCAGTAATGGGAAAATAAATTTGTCTCTAATGGAGTGTCTCGAAAATACTGACGACGTATTCATTTAATAAAATAACACATATTTGCATCTAATCTCGCTTAAATTTTTCACAAACCAGATATAAATTATGAACAAGCTCATTTTACCAAGACTACATTCTCCTATGATGCATTCCTTGTTTTTATAAGCACAAGGTATCTCAACAACTTCTCAAGCACGCACCGCATCCACAAGAATCCGTTTTTATGCATACATTAATAATTTTACTTTTAAGTTATTTTTGTGCAATTACTCCTGATAAAAAGGCAATAAATAAAATGATCGTTTAAAATATCGTAGCACTGCGGCATTTTTTAAATGCTTTTACGCGAATCGAGGCGCGCATAATGTGCATAATTTGTCATGCAAATGCAAAGTAATGCATACAATTATTACACATATAAATCACAAACTAAATGTCAAAAACAATTTGAAAGTCAGATTTCGCATATAGGTGAACGTGTCAATGCGATAATTCGTAACTTCCTAACAATATCTGCCAATAAAACATAATTGTGTGAAACCGCGTGGTCGTGTACCCCGTGTTTTTCCTCCAGAACAGCTTTTATAAAATGTTAATTCATGTTAATGACTGTAATTTCGAAGTGGTTAAGCGGAAAATGTGTTAGTTTTATGGCTTACCTTTTTTTGTCATCGCCGAATCGCTTTTTCTTTCCAATAGCGTGTGATGCAAACAGTAGCTGACCTGTCCTCGTTCGTTTCGCAATTTTAATAGAGACGATCTAGATTGGGTCGTCTTATTATCTAATTGCCAAATTAATCTAGGTTTTGTGGTCCATTATTACTTAACAAATTAATTATCCGAGTGAACGTTCCCGGAACAATAACATGACGCAAAAAAATTTGTTGTTCTAGTAAGGAAACGTTCACTTAACTTTTTACAAGTGACTTTCATCGCTCTCGTTGTTTCGATTTTGTTGTAAAAATAGCGACTTCGTCAAACAAAACACGGAAATTATTTTAGATAAATAAATATCATGGGTATTAGAAATTGCGACACAAGAAATAGGCTGGCACTTTATTAAACGCTTGTTTTCTTAGTAGTCTAACAGGTTACGTATTGCATCAAGACATCTCCACTTGTCGGGCAGATAGAAGGGCTCAAAAACGTGAGGGAACGGTGTGTCGAAGCCCGTGACTCTGGCAACAGGTGCTTCCAGATGCAAGAAACATTCCTCCTTAAAAACAAAAAAAGTGCAGACAAAATTGCATAAGAACATTTATGAGGATTTTTCTGTCAAAAGCAGTGATTTCTTAAGACGTTTCAGCAGGATTTTGCGTTCATTTACATAACAACAAATGGGACAACGAGGAGAAATTTTCAGCTATTTTTATTTGAGCGTCGTTAAAGCATAGTCTTTTGTTGCTTGATTCCATAGCGACAAATTTATTCTGCGACGGCATAAAACAAAAGCGAAAATGTTTAAAGAGAGTTTAACTTTTTCTGGAAACGCGAAATAAAACAACTTTTACTCTACGTATAAAATATACTATTTATGTTTTAAATTTTCCGTGCTACGTTAAATAAATTTCTCGTTTTATTCACGAATCTAACATATATAAGAGCTATAAAAATCTAGAAAAATGTAACAGTTTGTTGAACGTTTGGTAGCCAACTGTTGAGAACTCGAAACATCATCAAAATTTTGTTTTATTGTTCAGTTTTGAATTTTTTCCAAAAATTCGGAAATACAGGGTTAAAATACTGACAAACCCTGGTTGTAAATGCCATAATAACATTAACACTAATACAATTAGTTGTAAAATAAAACCCTAATGTTGCTTTAATTTTCTTTAAGGACAAAACATCAGAAGCTCCCAAAAATCTTTCAAGAACGAAAAACACAGGACTCTAATGTTGTTTTACTCTCTTTCAAAATAAAAAAAACACGTGTCCCTAACATTCCATTACATTTTTAAAAGAAAACACTATCGACATCAAATTTTTTTCAAATTCGTTCCAAAATAAAACACCAGAAGCTTTTAAGATTGTGTCAAATTCGCTTTAGAACAAAAGGCCAAAAGTTACCAAAAATCTTTAAACGACAAAACACCATAGGTCCCCAAGGTTTTTTTTAAATCTTTTTCGACAATAAAATCAAAAATGAAACAGAAGCGACCCCAATATTCTTCTAAACACCAGAGATCCCGAAAATTCTTTCGAATTTGTTCCAAAACAAAACACTAGAAGCTCTGAAGATTCTTGCAAATTTTTTCAAATACAAAGTAGCAGAGGTCCTAACATTCTTTTAAATTCTTAAAAAAGACGTTAGGGACGCCAAGATTCATTCAATTTTTTTTGTGGGGGGTCCCCAAAATTCTTTCAAATTCGATCCAGAAATTTCCCAACATTAAAAGACCGTAGTCCCTCGAAGTTTTTTTAATCTTTTTCAAAAACAGCATACCGGGGACCCAAAGATTCCTCTAAACTCTTAAAAAAACATTAGGGATCCCAAGATCAATTCAATTTTTTTCAAAACTATTACAAATGGGGCCTTAACATTCTTGAAAAAACCACTAGAGCCCCAACATTCTTTTAGATTCTTACAAAAGACACTAAGGACTGCAAGTTTATTTCATTTTTTTTATATATAAAAATACGACTGGTTTCTAAAATTCTTTCAAATTCGATCCAGATCAAAATACCAGAAGTTCCCAAAATCTTCCAATGACACCATAGGCACCCAAGGTTCGTTTAATCTTTTTAAAAAATAAAATACAGGACCCCAAGATGCTTTAAATTCTTAAAAAACCACTAGGGATCCCTACATTCATCCAGTTTTTTTCAGAACTAAAACACCCGGATCCCATAAGGTTCTATCAAATTAGTTAAAAAAAAAAACAGTAGATGTCCCAATATTCCTTTAAATTCTTAAAAAAGGCTCTTGGGACCCCGAGAATCTTTAATGAAAATAGTAGGGGTTCCCAAAATTCTTTCAATTTAGATCCAGAACAAAGGACCATAAGTTCCCAATAAACTTCCAACGACAAAACACCATAGGCCCCCAAGACTCTTTTGATTTTCTCAAAAATAAATTACCATTGACCCCAAGATTCTTCTAATGTTCGAAAAACAAAAAAAAAGGCTGGGGATCCCAAGATTCATTCACATTTTTTCAGAACTGAAAACACCTGGGTCCCCAAAATATTTTCAAATTGATTTAAAAAAACACCAGAAGTCCTAACATTCTTTAATGAAAATAGTAAGGGTCCCCATTTTTTTTTCAAATTTGCTCCAGAACAAAATACCAAAAGTTCTCAAAAATCTTTCAAGGAAAACACTCCATGGTTCTTTTACTCTTTTTCAAAAATAAAACACAGGGAGCCCCCGGAATTCTTCTAAATCATAAAAAACACTAGGGACCACAAGAATCTTTCAATTTTTTTCAGAATTAACGCAGCAGGTGCCTTCAGGATTCTTTCAAATGCGTTCCAAAACAAAGCAGCACAAGCTACCAATGTTTTCAAATTCTTTCAAAAACAAAAAACTAGGATACTCAAAATTCTTTTAAATTCTCAGGAAAAAATATTAGGATTAAGGATTAAGATGTTTTCGCCTTTTTTTAAATGAAAAAAATAGGGGTCCCAAGATTCTTTCAAATTCGTTCCAAAACATGATCCCAGAAGTTCCCAAACATTTTTACACGAGAAACATCGCAGACCCACAAGATTCTTTTAATTTATTTCAAAATAAAGCACCAGGAGCCCGAAAGATTCCTCTAAATCCTTAAAAAAAAAGTAGGGACTCCAAGATCACCTCCAAATTCTTAACAAAACATTAGGGACCTTCAGGGTTTCTTGTAAATTTTTCGAGTCCCCAAGATGAATCTAAATTCTTAAAAAAACACTAGGACCTCAAGATATTTTCATATTTTTTCAGAAATAAAACACTAGAGGCCTTCAAGATTTTTTCAAATTCGTTCCAAAACAAAACAGCAGAAGCTTCCAAGATTCTTTAAAATTCTTAAAAAAAATTAGGGAGTTTTAACACGCTTTTAAATGTTTAAACAAAAATACCAAGGATTAAAAAATTCTTTCAATTTTTTTCAAAATGAAGAAATTAGGGATTTTCAAGGTTCTTTGAAATTCGTTCCAGAAAAAAAAATACCAAAAGTTTCCAAAACTCTTTCCATGAAAAACATCATAGACCCATGAGGCTGTTTTAATATTTTTCAAAAAAGAAACATTGGGAGTCTTCAAGATTTTATGTAAATTCTAAAAAAAAAACACGAAAATTTTTTCAGACGTAACTAGAGGCCTTCAGGATTCCTTCAAATCCGTTCCAAAGCAAAACACCAGAAACTCCTTAGATTCTTTATATTACTTTGAAAAACAAAACACTACGGTGTCGCAACATTCTTTTCAATTTTTAAACAAAGGTAATAAGGGTCCCAAAATTCTTTCGAATTTTTTCAAAATGGAAACATATCACCAAGATTCTTTCGAATTCGTTCCATAACAAAATTCCAGAAATTCACAAAAATCTTTCTACGACAAACATAATAGGCCCACCAGGTTTTTTTAAACTTTCTTTCAAAAATATAAACATCAGGAACCCCCGAGATTCCTCTAAATTCTTAAAAAAAATACACTAGGGACCTCAAGTTTCTTTCGAATTTTTTCGAAAACAAACACCACAGGTTCCAAAATTCTTTCAAATTTTTTCATAAGTAAAACACTAGAGGCCTTCATAATTCTTTTAAATTCGTTCCAAAACAACACACCAGAAGTTCGTGAGATTCATCAAAATTCTTTCAAAAACAAAATACTACTGTGTCATAACATTCTTTAAAATTTTGAACAAAGGTCCTAAGGATTCCAAAATTCTTTCAATATTTTTCAGAATGAAGACAATAGGTGTTCCTAAGATTCTTTCAAATTCATTCCAGATCAAAATACCAGAAGACCCCAAAAATCTTTCCACGAAAAACGTCATAAACCCACAAGGTTTTTTAATTTTTTTTTTTAAATAAAACATCAGGAGCCCCAATATTCCTCTAAATTCTTAAAAAAAATTACACTAGCGATCCCAATTTTCTTTCAAATTTTTTCGAAATCAAACACCACAGGTCCCAAAATTCTTCCAAATTTTGTCAAAATGAAAATTCTAGGAGTCTCTAGTATTTTTTCAGATTTGCTTCAAAACAAAATATCCGAGGTTCCCAAAAATCTTTCAACGACAAAACACCACAGACCAACAGGTTATTCTAATATTTTTCAAAAATGAAACATCGGCAGTCCCCAAGATGAACCTAAATTCTTAAAAAACACTAGGTCTTCAAGTTTCTTTTAAATTCGTTCCAAAATAAAACTCCAGAAGCTCCTAAGATTCTATAAAATTCTTTAAATAAAAAACATTAGAGCATTCCAACATTCTTTTAGATATTTATTTAAATAAGGATACTAAGGATTAAAAAATTCTTTCGATTTTTTTCAGAATGAAGACATTAGGGATCCCCAAAATTCTTTCAAATTCGTTCCAAAAAAAAAACACCAAAAGTTCTCAAAACTCTTCCCGCGAACAACATCATAGGCCCACAACGTTCTTTAATTCTCGTTCAAAAATAAAACACCAGGAGCCACAAGATTCCTCTAAATTCTCAAAAAAAAACCCTAGGGACTCCCAGATTTCTCTGAATTCTTAACAAAACGCTAGGGACCTTCCGACTTTCTTTCACATTGTTTTCGAAAAAAGCACCACTGGTCTTGAAAGTCTTTTAAATTCTAAAAAAAGATACTAAAGACCCTAAGATGTTTTCAAATGTTTTCAAAATCAACACTGTAGGGGTCCCCAAGTTTTTCAAGTTCACTACAAAACAAAATACCACACGTTCTTAAAAATCTTTCAACGATAAAACGTCATAGACCCACAAGGTTATTTTAATCTTTTTCAAAAAACAAACATTGGAATTCCCCAAGATTTATCTAAATTGTAATAAAAAACTGTAAGGACCCCAAGATTCTTTCAATTTTTTTCAGAACTAAAACTATTGGCCCCCAAGATATTTTCAAATGGGTTTAAAAAATACCAGAAGTCACAACATTCTTTAATGAAAATGGTAGGGTATACCAGAAGTTTCCAAAAATATTTCAAGGAAAACACGCTATAGGTCCCCAAGGGTCTTTTGAGTTTTTTCGAAAATAAAATACAGGGAAACCCCAGAATTCCTCTATATTATGAAAAAATCACAAAGGACCCCAAGATTCTTTCAAATTTTTTCAAAACTAAAACACCAGAGGCCTCCAGGTTTTCTTCAAATTTGTGCCAAATCAGAACACCAGAAGCTCCCAAGATTTTTTAAATTTCTTTCAAAAACAAAACACTAGGGTGTCCCAACATTTTTTTTTTACAAAAGTATCAGGGATTCCAAAATTCTTTGGATTTTTTTTATGAAAAGAATAGGTGTCCCCAAGATTCTTTCAAATTCGTTCTAGAACAAAATACCAGAAGATCCCAAAACTTTTTCCACGAAAAATATCATAGACCTACAAGGTTTTTAATTTTTTTTTCAAAAATAAAACATCACGAGCTCCCAAGTTTTCTCTAAATTCTTAAAAAAAAACACTAGGAAGCCCTAGTTTCTTTCAAATTTTTTCGAAAACCATCACCACAGGTCCCAAAATTCTTTTAACTTCTTAAAAAAGATACTTGGGTCGCCAATATTCTTTCAAATTTTGTCAAAATGAAAATTGTAGGATTCTCCAAGATTTTTTCAGATTTGCAAAACAAAACAAAATATCCCAGGTTCCCAAAAATCGTTCACCGACGCAACAGCATAGACCAACAAGTTTATTTGAATTTTTTTCAAAAATGAACTATAGGGAGTCTCCAAGATGGATCTAAATTATTATAAAACACTAGAACTCCAAGATTTCAAATTTCTTTCCGAAAGCTCTTAAGATACTATAAAATTCTTTCAAAAATAAAACACTAGGGGGTTCTAACATTCTTTTAAATTTTTGAACAAAGATACTAAGGACTCCAAAATTCTTTCGATTTTGTTCAACGAAGACATTAGGAATCTCCAAGATTCTTTCAAATTCGTTGCAGAAAAAAATACCAGAAGTTCCCAAAACTGTTTCCACGAAAAGCATGATAGACCCATAAGGTTCTTTCAATCTCTTTCAAAAATAAAATACCAAGAACCCTAAGATTCTTTTAAATACATAAGAAAAAACAAGAAACACTAGAGATCCTAAAATTCATTCACATTTTTTCAGAACTAAAACACCTGGATCCTCTAGATATTTTTAAATTGCTTTAAAAAAAAAACACCAGGGGTCCTAACATTCTTTACTGAAAATAGTAGGGGTCCCCATTTTTTTTTCAAATTCGATCCAGATAAAAATAACAGAAGTTTCCAAACAAATCACGAAAAATCATCGCAGCCTGACAATGTTCTCTTTCACCGGGGATCACAACATTCCTCTAAATTCTTAAAAAAAACCTAGAGACCCCAAGATTCCTGTAAATTACAAAAATCATTAAGGACCCCAAAATTGATCCTGTAGTTGTGAAAAATGTCCTAGAAATATATAGGAAAGTTATGGGAGCCATAAATACCAGTATTCATGATAGTAGTAGAAAATCTGGTCTGGAAATCTATGGTTTCTCTGGAGTCGAAAGTTCTAGAACGTAAACTAAAGTTTAGCAAAACTACGATTTTTTGCTTCACGATCGCTAATCGACAGATGTCACTAAAACTGTAGCATTCAAACTCTAAACCGTTTCGAATTAGTGGTTGTCCTCTTCAGAGATCTGATTAATATAAAAGGACATTTTTATAAAACTTGGTTAAACATATTTTCTTTTATCTACTAAATACGAAAAATTGAGGAATTGAAAAATTGGGGAATCGACAATTCAGAAATTGTAAAGTTGAAAAACTGAAAAAACCAGAAATCGAAAATCAAGAAGTCGAAATACGAAGTCGAAAAATCGAAATTTTGAAAAATCCCAAAACTGAAACATGGAAAAATTTAAGAAAAGCGAATCATCAGGAAAATGAAACATCGCACAATCGAAAAAGTAAAAAATTGAAATATCTAAAATTTAAAAAATTGAAAAACCAAAAAATTAAAAAATCGAAAAACATTGAAATATCGAAAAACTTTAAAAACGAAGAAAATTTTAAGAACAAGAAATTGAAAAATCCCAAAACTGGTACACCAGTAAATTAGAACTTGGTTAAACATATTTTCTTTTATCTACTAAATACGAAAAATTGAGAAATTGAAAAGTCGAGGAATCTAAAATTTAGAAGCGCCAAAAATTGCAAAATTGAAAAAGGAAAAAAATGAGAAATCGGAAAATCGCAAATCAAGAAGTCGGAATACGAAAAGTCCAAAGATCCAAATTTACACAATCGAAATTTTGGAAAATCCCAAAACTGAATTATGGAAGGCAGATTCCTGAAATTTATTAGACTTACTAATTTGGATCTTCTGAATGCGAACCAGAATTTGAAAATTGATGTAAGTAAGCAGGTTTCTGTTTTTTTTTTTGGTTTTTGGAATTATCGACCTATAGAAAAATGGCATCGTTTGATTTGTAGGGCTCTCAAATTCTATTTGATAAGGATGACACCTGAAATTTTCTGGAGTCTAAGTTCAATCTCCTAAATACGAATCCGAATTCAGAATTGAGCTAAGAAACTTCCTGAATTTTTTTGATTTTTTTTAATGATACTAGCCGTAGAAAAAGTATCGTTCCTTGTATCGATCTCTCAAGATTTATTCGATAAAGAAGACTACTGAAATTTGCTGAATTTATTAATTTCAATATCCTGAATACTTGGAAGAATTCGGAAATCGAAAAATTGAAAAGTCGAAAAATCAAAACCTAAAAAATGGACAATTCAAGTACGTGAACAATCGGAAAATTGAAATACTGAAAAAAAATGAAGAACTGAAAAACTGAAAAAGAGAAAAATCGAGAAATAGAGTAGACAAAAAACCAAAAAATCGATTAACCGAGAAATCCAAAAGTCTAAGAATCGAAAATTCGGAACGTAAACTAAAGTTATTAGCAAGACTACGATTTTTGCTTCACTTTTTTAGGGAATGGCGGTGTCTCTAACATTTTTTGACAAATATTTAAAGAACGGGGAAATGCTAGTCGTAAGATGTCACTAAAACTGTAGCATTCAAACTTTAAACCGTTTCGAATTTGTGGTTGTCCTCTTCAGAGATCTGATTAATATAAAAGGACATTTTTATAAAATTTGGTTAAACATATTTTCTTTTATCTACTAAATACGAAAAATTGAGAAATTGAAAAATCGGGGAATCCAAAATTTAGAAATGTCAGAAATTGTAAAGTTGAAAAATTGAAAAATGGAAAATCAAGAAGTCGAAATACGAAAAATCGAAATTTTGGAAAATCCCAAAACTGAAATATGGAAAAATTGAAGAAAAGCGAATCATCGGGAAAATGAAACATCGCACTATCGAAAAACTAAAAAATTGAAATATCTAAAATTTAAAAAATTGAAAAACCAAAAAATCGAAAAACATTGAAATTTCCGAAAACTGAAATATCGAAAAACTTTAAAAACGAAGAAAATTTTAACAACAAGAAATTGAAAAATCCCAAAACTGGTACACCAGTAAATTAGAAATCGAAAAATTGAGAAATTGAAAAGTCGAGGAATCTAAAATTTAGAAGCGCCAAAAATTGCAAAATTGAAAAATTGAAAAAGGAAAAAAATGAGAAATCGGAAAATCGAAAATCAAGAAGTCGGAATACGAAAAGTTCAAAGATCCAAATTTAAAGAATCGAAATTTTGGAAAATCCCAAAACTGAAATATGGAAGGAAGATTCCTGAAACTTATTGGACTTACTAATTTGAATCTTCTGAATGCGAACCAGAATTTGAAAATTGATCTAGGTAAAAAGGTTTCTGAATTTTTTTGGTTTTTTGAATTATCGACCTATAAAAAAATCGTTTGATTTTTGCTGGACTAAGTTCAATGTCCTGAATACGAATCCGAATTCAGAATTGAGCTAAGAAGCTTCCTGAATTTTTTTGATTTTTTTTTAATGATACTACCCGTAGAAAAATTATCGTTCGTTGTATCGATCTCTCAAGACTTATAGTCGACAGAGGTCACTAAAACTGTAGCATTCAAACTTTAAACCGTTAAACTTGGTTAAACATATTTTCTTTGATCTACTAAATACGAATTAAGAGTTGACAATTGTTTAAAATCAATATATTAAAGGGAGTGAAACACTTTTAACTATACTAGCGACTCCACTGAAAAACTACATTAGTTTTATGACCTTTAAGACAAAGATAAATAAGCACATTAATAGTACCATAAAGCGAAAACAAATTTATGAGTGGTGTAGATAGTTAACTTTCAAATATTTTTATTATGGATTTACGACTAGTCGGGATTCATGGTGATAGGTAGATGGTCAATCATGAAAAACGATCTTTCTAGAGTTGTGGTGCAATGAAATAAGAATTTCCAGTTATTGAGAATTAATAAAAACAAATAGAAATAAATTCAACTGATATTAATTTAAATCACTCTCTTTACTACCGGTATATTGAACGATAAAAATACCATAAAAAAGTCACAAAAATATCGGATGCGTGATGTCGATTATATTATACTGGGTGTCCATCAGTTCTCATCAAGTGAGCTTGCAGATGTGATCAAATTTGCCACTTCATTGTGACTGTGTATATAACTGAAGAGGTAGACAACCAGTAATTTCCGTTTTTTTTTGTCAAAAAGGATTCACTGCCGGAATTTTGGTCAGAACTATGTATTATGTATTAATTTGGTTTAAAATAACAAGGTCTTATTGCTACAGCTCTTTTTCCATTTACAAAAAATTTAATCTAGAAGTTTCCGATGCGGGGGCACAAAATTCATATAAACTCATAAACATCGATAAATTCTCCGCATATCTTATCAACGTAGATTTATAAGTTTATTACAGCATCCATTTTTTCTCGCATCCCATTATCTCAAGTGAAACCGTAACAGGCCGCATTCCCGCACACTATCCTGCTGAAATGCTTTTCCGCGCAATAAACATCGTAACAAAGCAAATTCAGTCTCGGCCATAAAAAATAAAACTAACATAACATAAATTATCTCTGTGGGTTTCCGCGCTAATTTCTTATCAAAAATTGCGATACCTACCTGTATCGTGGCAGCGACTTCGGCCCCGAAGCCCCCCGTCAGCGGTGCCTCGTGAGCTATTAGAACCCTCTTAGTTTTCTTGACAGACTGAAAAATCCGCAGTAAATCAAATTAAGGACGTAGATTTTTCTTTCAGATAAGCGCAACAAAGAACTACCTTCCATTCCGTTTAGATTATTTGTTTCTCGAAGAAACAAACAGAATGCGGTAATGCTATTGAAATCCGCTTCCGGTTCCTTCGGCATTAGCTCTAACCGGATTCGAGATAAATTATTTCCATCGGTGTGTACCACGGTCAGTCAATTAGGTAAATGACGAGGCTAACAGATTCTCGATAATTGTTGACAGCGTCGGAATCGAAATTTAATGGATTCATGCACGGTTGCGCCAAATTAAATTTATTAAAAATTGCGCCAGAGTTGCGCCATATCGGGAGGTGGTGAAGGTTGCTGTTATTATTACCTGACACACGGTGTTCCTGTCCCAGGGCAAAATGGAAACGAGATCTATGACTTCGCAGGAGGCGTTGAATTGGGTTTTGGCCAAATGGACCACTTCGAGGAGGACGTGCACCTGAGTGCCCCAGCCGATCAGCGTCACTTGCTCTCCTGCAAGAAATATCTACATAGAATAGAGCGTATTTTACTACAGATACACATAGGAGTATAGAGGCTGTCTTTTGTAACTTTTTTTTTCAAGATAGATCCTTATTTTATGATAAAAATTATTAATAATAAAAAATATTCAGCAAAAAATGTGAAAAGCCTGAAAAATTAACTATCATGTTTTCAGTTGTACAGTTTCATTAAATTTAAATAAAGAATTTTTTTGATCGACAGAAACCACGATTAAATAAAATCCAAGCCAATTTAAAACGAGAATTTAATTTTTGAATATTCCGAATGTGTTTTACTTCCCGAGTCCCTCAGCGACTCTCTACTTTTACGTTTTCTCGACCTTTTCCGTCCATCTGTCTGTCTGTCTGTCTGTCTGCCTGTCCGTTTGTCGATCTGTCTGCCGTTACGTATTTTTTTTTTCCATACACGATCGTACGAAAATAGTCTTTATTATTGAAATTTTCCAGAACTTCTACAATATTATTCTTTTGAGGCATTGAAATAACGATATAGCTGCAAAAAAGTACGAATTTTTTTTTTTTGTTACAAATGTCGAACTGACAGATTTGTGAATTAAATAGATGGTTTCTTACATACTTACTTTATTAACAAACTTTTTAATTATTGATTTTAGAATATTGGTTCTATTTGATTTTTTGTAGTAAAAAAAGCAAGCTTTCCATTAAAGAAATTAAGTTGGTGTCATTTCCGGTTCTACCGGACGTGATAATAAGAGGGTTTGCTTACCATCACACAGATATTTTAAAATGATACAAACCTGCTGAAAAAACTATAGGTTTATCTTTAAAAATAAAAAACTTGTAAGGGTTTTATCGGAGAAAAAATTGGTCGAAGGTTATTTTGACAGAACTTCCCTCGCCTTTGAAGTGCAACCTAACAAATCGCGCAAAAGCAATATATTTAAGTACATAACCAACGGGGAAAATGCTTTTGGAAAATCTGAAAAATCGAAATGTCGAGAAATCGAACAATCGAAAAATTTAAACAACGGAATGATAAACCGAAAATTGAGAAATCAAAAATTTCTTACTCGAATAGTCGATAAAATTGAAAAATTGAAAAATTGAAGAATCGAGAAATGGAAAAGTGGAAAAACCAAAAATTGATAAACCAGGTAATTGAGAAATCGAAAAACCGAAGACTCAAAAATTTAGAATCGTGAAAATTGAAAAATTAAAAAATCGAAAAATTGAAGTAACAAAATTTTGAAAAATACCAAAACTGAAACATTGAAAAATCGAAGAAATATTGAAGAATGGAAAAATTGAAAAATCTAGAAATCGAAGAAACTTAAAAAAATTTAAAAATCTGAAGTTCAAAAATCGAAAAATTGAAATATTGGAAAATTGAAGAATTGAAAAATCGAGAAATCGAAAAGTGGAAAAACCAAAAACTCGATTAGTCGATAGAGAAATTGAAAAATCAAGTAATCGAAAATTTGGAACTGTTAAAATTTGAAATTTTGAAAAATCGAAAAGTAATGAAACGTAAAATCGAAAAATCGACAAATCGAAAAACTGAAGAAACAAAATACTGAAAAGTACCAAAACTGAAATATCGAAAAACTGAAAAATTGAAGGAACATTGTAGAATCAAAAAATTGAAAAATCTAGTAATAGAAATATAAAAAAATCGAAAAATTGTAAAATCGAAATCTGAAAAGTCGAAAAATCGAGCAATCGAAACATCAAAAAATCCTAAAACGAAAAAATTGAAAAATGTAAAATATAAAAATCGAAAAATTGAAAAAGTAAAATTAAGAAATAGAAAAATCGAAAAATCGAAATGTCGAAAAACCGAAAAATTGAATAATCAAGAAATGGGGAAGTCGAGAAATCGAAAAGTCGAAAAACCAAAAAATTGATTAACCGGGAAATTGAGAAATCGAAAAATCGAAGACTCAAAAATTTAGAACCGTCAAAATTGAAAAATTAATAAATCGAAAAAATAAAAAACGAGAAATCGGAAAATCGAAAATTTGAGAAATTGAAGTATCAAAATATTAAATATTAACAAAACTGAAAAATTGAAGAATTGAAAAATTGAAAAAGTAAAAGTATGAAATAGGAAAATCGAAAAGTCGAAGAGCCGAAAAATTGAATAATCAAAAAATGAGGAAGTCGAGAAATCGAAAAGTCGGAAAACCAAAAAGTTGATTAATCGGGAAATTGAGAAATTGAAAAACCGAAAAGTCAAAAATTTAGAACCGTCAAAATTAAAAAAATAAAAAATCGAACAATTAAAAAACGAGACATCGAAAAATCGAAAAGCTGACAAATCGATGAGTCGAATAATTGAAAAATTAAAGTATCAAAATATCAAAAAATACCAAAACTGAATATTGAAACATCGAAGAAACATTGAAGAATGGAAAAATTGAAAAATCGACAAATATCAAAATATCAAAAAATCGAAAAATTAAAAAATCTATAAATCGAGGATACTTCAAAAAATTGAAAAATCTGAAGTTTAAAAATCGAAAAATTGAATACTCGAAAAAGTAAAAATAGTTAAACCAAAAACCGGAAAGTCGACCAGTAGAAGTCGAAAAATAGAATGTTTAAAAAATCGGAAATTTGAAAAATTAAGAACCTGGAAAATCGAAAAATTGAAATATTGAAAAATAGAAGAATTCAAAAATCGAGTGATCGAAAAGTCGAAAAACCAAAAATAGATTAATCGATAGAAACATTGAAGAATCAAAGAATCGAAAATTTAGAACCGTCAAAAATTGAAATTTTGAAAAATCGAAAAAGTAATAAAACGAAAAATCGAAAAATCGAAAAGTCAACAAATCAACTGAAGAAAGAAAATATTGAAAAAACCTAAACTGAAATATTGAAAAATTGAAAAATCGAAGAAACATTTAAGAATGAAAAAATTGAAAAATCGGGAAATCGAAATATCAAACGGTTGAAAAATTGTAAAACTGAAGAAACATTCGAGAAATAGAAAACGCGAAAACGTAAAAAATCGAGAAATGAAAAACCGGAAGGTCTAAAAATCGAAGTCGAAAAATTGGTATTCAAAAAATCGAAAAATAGAAAAATTATTGATATATAGAAAAATTGAAGAATTGAAAAATCGAGAAATCGAAAAGTTGAAAAAACAAAAAATTGATGAAAACAAAAAATAAGAAATCGAAAAATTGGGGAATCTAAAATCTGGTAACGGCAGAAATTGTAAAATTAAAAATTGATAAACAAACAAACGAGAAATCGAAAAATCGAAAATCAAGAAGTCGAAATACGAAAAGTCGAAAAATCGAACAATTAAAGAATCGAAATTTTGGGAAATCCCAAAAACTGAAATATCGAAAAATTTTAAAATCGGAAAAAACTAAGAACGAGAAGTTGAAAAATTCCAAAACTGTAACACCAGTAAATTAGGAATCGAAAAATTAAAAAATCGAGAAATCGAAAAGTCGAGAAATCAAAAAATTTAGAAACTCCAGAAATTGTGAAATTGAAAAATTGGAAAAGGAAAAAAGGAGAAATCGAAAAATCGAAAATCAAGAAGTCTAAATACGAAAAGTCGAAAAAGCGAAAAATTAAAGAATCGAAATTTTGTAAACTCCCAAAACTGAACTATAGAAAAATAGAAAAACTGAAGAAAAGTGAAGAATCGAGAAATTGAAATATCACGCAATCGAAAAACTGAAAAATTGAAAGATCTCAAATTTAAAAAGTTGAAAAAGTAAAAAATTAAAATATTGAATTTTCCCAAAACTGAAATATGGAAAAATTTAAAAATCGAAGAAAAACTTAAGAACGAGATATTGAAAAATCCCAAAACTGGAATACTAGTAAATTGGAAAATCGAGAAATCGAAAAGTCGAAAAATCAAAACCTGAAAAATTGAAATACTGAAAAAAATGAAGAACTGAAAAACTGAAAAAAGAAAAACCGAGAAATCAAGAAGTCAAAAAACCAAAAAATCTATTAATCGAGAAATCCAAAAGTCTAAGAATCGAACATTCGGAAACGTCAGATTATAAAATTGAAAAACCGAAAAAGTAAAAATACGAGAAATCGACAAATCGGAAAATCAAAGAAATGAACTATCGAAAAAGGACCACAATTTTGGAAAATTCCAAAATGTTGAAGAATTGAATAAAAATCGAAAAGTCGAAAAATTGAAAAATATCAAAACTGAAACATCGATAAATTGAGAAATTGAAAAACTGAAAAATCGAGAAACCCAAAAGTTGAAAAATTGAAAATTCGAAAAATTGAAATATTGAGAAACTGAAAAATTGAACAACAGAAAAATAGGAAAGTTGGGAAACCGAGAAGTCGACAAATCTCAAAGTCCAAAAACCAAAAAACTGATTTATCGAGAAATTGAGAAATCAAAAAATCGAGGAATCGAAAACTGAAATATTGAAAAACTGAAAACTCGAAAGTTGAAAAATTGAGAAATCGAAAAGCTATATCTACAATTTTGATTTTTTTCCAAAAATCTGAATGCCTAGGATAAAACTCAACACGAATTCATAGACCACAAATGGAGCTAAAATTTTGGTGCGTTTTACCATCCCTCATCTGTCTAAAGAAAATCCGAACAAACGACAGACAGACAGACACACAAACAGCCAGACGGAAACAGGAGACCTATTTTTTCGTAGTCTCAAGTTCATGACATCTGCTCCATTTTTTTCGTAGAAGTTTATATAATATAACCTGAATTATTTTTAAAATAGTTAGGGCTAGTTTCATAATCAAAACTTAAAGCACCTTTAACTAATGGGAGCTTTAAACCATTCTGTCAACAATGTGTTCCTAAGGTAAAAATCCAACTTTAACTTTAAAACTCCTTTAACTTGATTATGAAATCGGTCCTTAGCGTCGTACATATTTTTTTTTTTTTAGATGGACTTTAATTTCAGACTGTTTCACTGGACCAAGACCACTACCAATGTTGGATTCCGAATTTTTAAATATCAACCTGCCACACCGCCGTTCGCCGGA